CTCCTCCCAGCAGGCGCTGGCTCCTAATGCCACCCCAAGCCCCCACGGCTCCCCTGCACCTGATCCCCACCACACACACCTCTCCTCCTAACCCCCCTCTACCCTGCTCTTCACCACGGTGCCAGCACCACCTGTCCAGGTCCTCAACTCGAAGGCCTGGGAGGCCCCTCTGCCTCCTCCCTCTGACTCCTCCCGCCCTCCCGCTGCAAACCTGGAACGTTCCACCCTCAACATACTTCTGGATTCCAACGCCATCCTGCCACCTCCATGGCGACCACCTGGGCCAGGCCCCACCCTCTGCCCNAAAAAAATTAAATACAATGGTCACCCCTCCTCACACGTGGTTTTTCTTAATGGAAGAAACTTGTTTGTTCTTTAAAATACATTTTTACTGATTTTAGAGAGAGGGAGGGAGAGAGAGAAACATCCGATGAGAGTCATTGATCAGCCACCTCCTGCACGCCCCCTGCTGGGGATCGAGGAGCCTGCAACCCTGGCATGTGCCCTGACCGGGACTTGAACCCATGACCTCTCAGTTCCTAGGTCGACACTCAACCACTGAGCCACACTGGCAGGACAGACATTTTCTTAATTGACCCTTGGGGGGTCCCCTTAGAAACTCTCACCCTAGAATGCCTCTCTCCNCTGTGTCCATCTGTCTGGTGCTCAAAAATCCCCAATGATCCCCACTGTTCTTGGGAAAAGCCCACAGGCCCTGCAGGGTCTGGACCCCCATCTCTTTCTGCCCTCGTCTCCCACCATCTGCACCCCGGCTCACTCCACACCAGCCACCTGGCCACCTACCTCTTGCCTCAAGGCCTCTGCACCTGCCGTTCTCTTTCCCAGGAGCACCTTCGCCCAGGCCCACACTTCCTTTAGATCCCACCCCACCTCCCCTCTATTAGTCTACTCACCCACCCCCACCCGTGGGTGACTCCTCCAGCATGGGCACACAGCTCCATGGCCCTCAGTTGGGTTTGCCACGTGAGGGGAGCAGTGTGGCACTCCCGGGGAGGAACAGGAATCTGCCACGTGAGCAGCAACCAGGGAGGCAAATGTATGACATGCAGCCCCTGTGCAGGCCCCTCAGCCGACCCCGTTCCACCTCCATGGGCACAGGCCATCCTGGAGGGGGGTCCTCTGACATCCCACAGCACCACCACCCCCCCGTGTCCAGCCCGACAGGGAAGTGGCCCAACCCTTGAAGCTGCTGCAGGCGGACGGGCTGGCGGGCGGCCGTTCCACTGGACACCATTTCTCACCATGCCCTAGCCGAGGTCCCGCCGGACACAACAGCCCAAGTCGAGCCCCAGAGCCTTTTTTTTTTTTAAATCCTCACCTGAGGACAGGTTTTATCGATTTTAGAGAGAGAGGAACGGGGGACTGGGGTGGAGAGAGACATGAATGTGAGAGAGAAACATCGATCGGTTGCCTCTCCTATGTGCCCCAACCAAGGATCGAACCCAAAGTAAGGTATGTGCCCTGACTGGGAATGGTGCCCACAACCTTTGCGGTGCACAGGACAATGCTCCAACCAACTGAGGCACCCGCCCGGGGCCCCAGGGCCCTTTCTAACCAGGAAAAACCTTGCTGGGGTTGGAGCCACAGGCATCCAGCATCCCCTGGGCACTGGCCTGGCCTTGGGTGCCACCTGGGAGCCTCCCTTCTGGAGGCTGGTGCCTGGGTCAGTGTTCTCTGTGGGGTTTGGGGAGGGGGAGGCAACTGTCCCAGGAGGTGTTCCTGGGGGAGGTTCCACTCCTGGGTCTGGGACCACATGCAGCCCCTGCCTGGGGTGAGGGCACAGGGGTCTCCTGCGGTGCCCAGAAGAGGCCACGTCCCCTCCTACCCTCCCTACTATCTCTCCTCCGCCCCCAGAGAGGCTGGATTTCTGCATTCTCCCCACCAACTAGCTCTGCAAACAAAGGCCCCCACCTGGCCCACCCAGGCCCTTACACGGACTCTGGGTGAGGGCGGCTTCCTGCCACTGAGCCACCCCCACTGGGGCCTCAAGGGCAGCAGGTGTGGTCCTGACAGGCAGGCGTGCCCACTGCCTGCCCTGTACCCTGGTGACCTGGCCGGGTGTTTGTTCTCAAACTTGCCCCCCACCTCTCCCTCCGACATGGTGAGGGTTGGGACCCCATCAGCCTGGGTCACCACTGTGTCCCCATGTCTCCGGGCAGCTGGCACACTGTGGAATGAGTGAACGAGTGGATGAAGCATAGGTGAAGCCCCCTTGGAAGTGCTGGGACCAGGCCAGCCCCCTAGGACCTCGGGCCCTGTTCCAGGGATCACTGAGCAGGGTTACCCCCTCCTACCCTGGCAGCCAGCACTGGAAAGACTGGATGTGAGGACTCCCAGAGCCTCGGACGGACGGGCGGGGTGGGGAGGTGACCCTTGGACCCAGGCACCGGCCAGGACAGACCCAGCTGAGGGAGGATCCTTTCCACCTCTGGCAGCTTCTGTTTGCCCATGTTTTCCACGAAGACCCTGTGAGCTTCTATAGCTGCCAACACCCATTGTTCCCAAAGGGAAATGCAAAGGCGTGTTGCATGTTTTTAATGGATTATAAAGTGACACAGGTTTTGTGGAACCTCAACAACCTGGAAGGGTGTGCGCAGAGGAGAACCCTCCAGACCTGACCTGCCTCCTCTCCTGACGGCAGGGGACCCGTGGGAGGAGGGCCAGCCTTCCAGTCCCTCTGTCACCTGGGATTGGAGGGCGGAGGTGCAGGTTGGTCAACCGGCAGAGCTTCCGGCCAGGTGAGGGCTGAAGGGCGGAGGAGGGTGGCCAGGCCAGCAGAGGGCAGCGTGGGGCCCCATGGCCTCCAGCCAAGGCCCCTCCCCCAGGCCACACCGGGCTCACCCTCTGGTTCTCTGTGATAAATGTGCTTTATGACGATACTTTTTCCAACGACCTTGAGATTCTCCGGGTGAAGGGTGAAAGCCAGGCACCGTGTGTGCTCAGTGGGGCTCATCAGACCGATGTGGGGAATGGGATGGGGAGTGCAGAGGGCTGACCTGTGCAAAGGCCCTGTGGCCTCAGGGAGCAGGGTGGTCTGCAGGTGTGGGACTGGTGAGGCTGCAGAAGTGTTGAAGCAGACCCTGGGGATTCGTGGGCCTCACTGAGGAGGGTGGGGGAGCCAGTGACATGGCCCCGGGAACTGTCAGCAAAGGTGGCCCCATGTCCGTCTCGCTGTGCACAGTCCTGCCGAGAGGGAGAGGGAGAGGGACGCCTGCATCACCGCGGGCTCTGGGCCTGGGTGTGCATCTGTGCGTTTCTCTGTGTGTGTCTGTGTGCGTGTGTCTCTATAGATGCATCTGTGCATGTGCATCCGAGCACATCTCCCTGCCAGTTACTAATTATTGCTTCAGCTCCAGGTTCACCATTTACTACCTGTGATTACCAATGGATTCCTGCACAGTGAGGGTCTGCACGGCGGTATTTGGGCTGGGTCCCTCATGGTGGGGGGGCCGCAGGGCCGGCAGGGTGTCGGGGAGCGTCCTGGCTCCCCCACTGGGCGGGAGGGGCTCTCCTTTCCCGAGCGCAGTGCTGCGCGTTTCCAGTAGAGGGCGAGGGAGGGACGCAGCAGGAGGAAGGGGCTCTAGCTGTTCC